GTTTTTGTGATCACTGCTCAAGGCCTCAGTGGAAGTAAGGGGGAATGTTGTGTTTCCACCCTCCCCCCACATTCCCTGTGCAGCTGTAACAAACCCGCTCAGAAAGAAATTAGGTAAAAATCACAATAGCAAAAAACACCAAGGAGGTGAAAGACGCCTACGAGAACACTGAGAAAGTCACCATCAGACATATGCAACCTGCTGACATTGCAACGATGTTCTTTACAAAGTTCACTTGAGGACCACTCAGTTGAACTACAAAAACAAATTGCAAAGTAATTTCATAGTGTTTTAAGCAAGTTGAGGATTTTGTATTGAGCCACATCCATAGCCATCCTAGGGTTCAACAGAGTGCAGGTTGGCCAAAGCTGCAACAATAAAAAGACTTTCCATGACCCAGGACTTGCAGAAAGATGCCCCATATTCATGGACTGGAAGAATTATTATTGTGAATATGATTATACTACCAAAAATAACATAAGGATTCAATGCAATACCTATCAAAATTCCAATGACACTCTTCACAGATCTAGAAACAATAATCTAAATATTAACATAGAAGCACAAAAGAGATCGATCACTAAAGCAATCTTAGGTAAAAGGAAGACTGCCGAAGGTATCACACTACCTGACCTCAAATTATACTACAGAGCCATAACGTCAAAGACAGCACAGTACTGGTCCCAAAACAGACATGTAGACCAAGAGAATAGAGAACCCAGAAATAAACTCACACAGCTATGGCCTCCTAATTTTTTCACAAAGATGTCAACAATATACACTGAAAGGAAAAACAACAACAAGAACAAAAACCCAGCAGCTGAGCTTGGTGGCACACACCTTTAATCCCAGCACTGCTCTAGAGGGCAGAGGCAGGGCAATCTCTGTGAGATTTAGGCCAGCCTGGTATGCATACTGAGTTCCAGGACAGCTGGGACTACAGGGAGACCCTGTCTCAAAAAAATAATACATAAAAAATTCAAAGTATATTGAAGACCTTAAAACATGAACTGTTGAACCTTCTAGAGAACTAAAGCACGTCAGAAGGTGGGTACAGGCAAGAATGTTGAGGATAGAATCACAACAGCACAGAAAACAGCCCCAAGAATTAACAAATGGGATTACATGAAATAAAGGGTCTGCAAGGCAAAGAAAGTCATCAGCAGAGTGAACACAGCTTACTGAATGGGAGAAAATTTTTGTCAGCTATACTTCAGAGAAGTGGCTAATACTGAGACTATATAAAGAGCTGCAAAAATTAAACACCAAAAATCCTCTGCCAATCAATAAATGTGCCAATGAGCCAAACAGTTCTCAAAAGAAAGTGACCCATCAGAGAAATGCAAATTAAAACTACTTTGAGATTCCATCTTACACCAGTCAGAATGGCTATTATGAAAACAAATGCCAGGCCTGAGAGACAGTTCAGTGGTCAAAAGCACTGGCTGCTCTTGCAGAGAACCCAGGTTCAGTTTCCAGCACCCCACATGGTGGCTAACAACCATCCATAACTCCAGTTCCAAGAGATCTGGATACCCTCTTTTGGCCTCCAGGGGCATTGCATATACATGGTGCACTCACATACATGCAGGCAAAACACTCACACAAAATACAAATAAAAAAATTTCAAAAAAAGAAAACAAATGCCAACAAATTCTGGAGATGTGGGGGAAAGAGGAATCCTCATTCATTGATCATGAGTCTAAACTGGTGCAGCCGCTATGTAAATTCATGTTAAGTTCCCTAAAAATAAACCTAAAAATTTAACGCCCATATGATCTAGCTATACCACTTATTTAGCCTACCAGAGATACTTGCACATCCATGTTTATTCCTGCTGTATTCACAACTGAATGGGAATGTAATCAGTCCAGATGTCCACCAACTGAAAATACGGTTCATATACACAATGGAATTTTATTTAGCCATATAGAAAAGTGAAATTTGCAGAAAAGTGCTTGGAAGTGGGAAATATTAAGGCAATCCAAGTTCAGAAAGATAAATACCACATACTCTCTCTCAAAGTAGATCCTGCATCCAATTTATATATGTATTTATAAGGAAGTGAGTATTGGAATTCCCCAAGTCATGAAACCAGAAAGAGATCTATGATGGTATTGTCAATTTGACAATATATAATTATCTGGGGAAGTAGGGCTCTGGGTACATCTGTGATGAATTATCTTGATCAAGCAAATTGAGGTGGTAAGTCCTCATTGTGAGTGAACCATTCTTTGGCTGGGATCCTGGACTGTATAAAAATGAGATGATTGTAGTTTGCAGGGTTCACCACTAAGATTGGTGACTATTTCTCTTCCTATAGCCTTATGGCACCTTCTAGCATTATGAAATATAGCCAGTAGGGATGAAGCTTCAAGTTCAGTACAAGCTTGATTGTTCCATGTTCTACAACTCACGTACATGGTGTCTTCAGCAACAGCATCTTACCATCGAGTTCTGGAGGGTAACCAAGAGCAATGACAATAGCCAGTCATGTTTGGAGGGGTGGTCTATTGGAGCTACCTGGCCAACAACTCCAAGATGTAACCATTCCTGGCACTGGGCTTTTTATTTGCTGTGGTGTCTAACAGGGGAATTGTACCTCCATTATGGGGTAATTCCATTTAAATTTTTATACATTTTAGGAAGCTTCTATAGAAGTAGGTTTCCATATTTTCTTTTTCTTCAAGCAGGGTCTCCTGTAGCCCCAGCTGGCCTGGAACTATGTAGAGTAGGATAGCCTTGAACTCACAGAGATCCACCTGCCTCTGCCTCCCAAGTGCTGGGATTAAAGGTGTACAGCACCACACCTGGCTACATATGATTTTTTCAAAAAGCTTTGGCCTGGCAAATATGCCCACTGGTATGATAGTGACATAATCATTATGACAGTAACCAAATACTCTGGATTTAAGGCCCATCCACAAAATGGATCCCATATGGAACCACAGGCCAAGAACCTGTGGCAAAACAGGTCATAGACCCTAGGAGAGATCCTGCTACTATTATACTGCTAAACGGACATGGTATTAAACTGACTCCTAGTAACCTACTGCTATATCCAGATTAGGGCACCTCTCAACCCTCATCAGAGCTTTTTTGCAGTACATGGCGAGTAATACAGACCCACAAGTGGTAAGTGTGCAGAGAATAAGAGACTGCAGAGTACTCAGCCCTAATGGGACATCTATGTCACTCTTCCCAAGGATCAGGGATCGAGGAAGAAGGGGTCTAAAAGATTTCGAGCCAAAAGCAGATGACTACAACAAAAGTGCTTTCCCAACACAACAGGGCAGATGTATATTATGAACTCAAGAGGCTGTGACAGCATGCAATGCACATGTCCTGTCCAAGCTCAAGACAAAATCCCAGCACTGAGGGGAAGGTGGCATTGAGTAACACCCCTAGCTTAGGAGCTCTTGGCAAAGGTTAGCTACTAAGAGGGAGAGTCAGGTTTTTTTTTTTTTTTTTTGTGTATGAGTGTATTGCCTGCATGTATGTGAGTGCACCTGTGTCATGGAATGCTGAGGTCAGAAGAGGGCTTCGGATTCCCCTGGAACTGGAGTTAAGGACGGTTCATAGCCGCCATGTGGGTGCTGGGAATCGAACCCAGGTCCTCTACAACAGCAGTCAGTGCTCTTAACAGCTGAGCCATCTCTCCAGCCCAAGTCAGTTTTCTTTAATGGTGTGACACCTGGCTGGTTGACCATGCTCTAGGGGATGGACCTATACCCAGGAGTACTGAGGGAATACAAATTGGAATCAATGGGCTTTAAAAAAAAAAAGGACATTGCCGGGCATGGTGGCACACACCTGTAGTCTCAGCACTTGGGAGGCAGAGGCAGGCGGATCTCTGTGAGTTCAAGGCCAGCCTGGTCTACATAGTGAGTTCCAGGACAACTGGGGCTACAGGGAGACCCTGTCTCAAAAAAAAGACTCCCCCCCAAAAAATGTATTAGGCCAGAGTCAGGTGAGGTGGCACACACCTTTAATCTCAGCACTTCAGAAGCAAAGGTAGGCAGATCTCTGTGAGTTAAGAGGCCAACCTGGTCTACATAGTGAGTTCCAGGCCAGCTGGGGCTACAGGACAACCCTGTCTCAAAAAGACCAAAATAAAATAAGAAGGCCAGGTATGGTGGCGCATGCCTTTAATCCCAGCACTCCAGAGGCAGGGGCAGGCAGATCTCTGGTCAGCACAGTTGAGTTCCTGGACAGCTGGGTCTACAGAAAGAACCCATCTCAAAAAAAAAGAACAAAATAAAATAAAATTGTTATATTAAAAATGTGAGGACCTGCAAGAGAGCTCAGTCGGTAAAGGTTCGTACTTGCCTCTCAGCCTGAGGAGCTGAGTTTGATCCACACATACACAATACAACAAATTTTTAAAAGGGAGGAGCTGAAAGCAAGTCATTACTCTCTTGCTTAACAGTGGTTATGTGACCAGCTTCCTCCAGCTCTTGCTATGATTTCCCCATGATGCACTGGAACCTGAACTGAGTCACAAGAAACCCTTGCTCCCCTAAGTTGCTTCTGTCAAGAGTATTTTATCAAAACAACAGGTAAAAGAAACCAAGGTCCCTAAGAAGGAAAAGGGCTTTAAGGAAGAGGCTAACAGAACTCAAGTGACATGAAAGTTGGCAGAAGAGCATCAGCAGGAGCCAAGGTAGGTAGATGGGGTAGGGGAGGGTAACCAAAGCAAATCACTAGGAAAATGCCATGCGCAGTGGCTCATCCATTAAGAGAGCTTGCTGCTCATCTAGAGGACCGGAGTTCAACTCCCAGCACCCATATCAGGCAGCTCACAACCCCTTATAACTCCAGCTCCAGGAGACTGGACACCCTCTTCCTGCCTCTGTAGGCAATTTGTACTCATGTGCATATACCACATACAGACACACATGCATACACACGATAAAAATATTTTAAATGTAGTCACTGAGGTAAATACTATTTATTATATCTCATTTTTCCTCTCATTGACTACTTTTTCTGAATTTTGGACTTAATACCAAAAAATATACAAACAGGGACAAATTATTTAGCAACAAAGCCAGCATTCCAGATGCAATACAAAAATTAAATTAGTCATTGATACATACTGCAAAAAAATTTGCACTTTATTTTTTTAAACAATAAAATAGTAATAGCAACAATAAATCAGTTGTGACAAAGCCAGTAACAGTAAACTAAGAACAAAACTAATTAACAGGCACTGCTTCACCTCAAACTAGTTCTCTCCTTTAAACAGGAAAGCTGTTAGTCTAGTGGTTCTCAACCTAGTCTGCACAGTAGACGGAGAGGACAAGGACTGGTGCTTTAACAAATACATACAACATGCAGAGCCCACCTTCAAGTAATTACATCAAGCCTCTCTAGAGTGCGGCTCAAGCAAAGATTTCTAAAGTGCTGAGTGTTGAGAACTGCAGGTCTAAAGTAAAAAACAGCAACAGCAAAAATGTCCTTAAAACAATTATAAAGCAACAAATTTATATGCTTTCTTTCCTTTTATCTTAGAGAAGGGGAGGAGGGTCAGGAACCCACTTCTCACTGTTCTGTACCCATTTTTGGTTGCCCATGGTAGTTTAAAAAACATCAAATACTGGAAGTTACTTAAATATGCCACCCAAGTTAAAAGAACTAAATTTACAAAGCTTTTTAAAAACATTAGCTTTCAGAATCTCACATTTTAATTTTGCATAGATATTCAAGTCACCTATTTGTTCAACTAAGAGGCGTCAATAAGATGTACTATAAAGTATGTAACATCAGTTATAGAAAATGGTATTAATTTCACGTACCACAAATAAGCAGTGCAAAGGAGCATCTGACAGAGGAAGACCCCAACATTTCATGCTGATTTCTAAAACTGTCAAAATTCCTTCCTCTAAGATTAGTGAAGTTAGAACCTGAACAAAACCTTTTCATTAAAAATGCATATACAAAATATTTTGCCTACAGCTGTACAATATCCTGAACAAATCTCTTTGGGAGGTTCAGTAGTAATTTCAGGTATTTTGCTTTAAAACAACTTTCCTCATCTTTCCGGTCTGAGAACGACAGTCGTGTGAGGTATGGAAAAAAACCTCAGGTCTCCTGGAATCCAGTGAGGCTGTTTGGCAGCTCCCCCTGTCAGGACTCCATTTCAGTTTCAAACCCTTCATTCTTGTCCTCAAGTGCTGTTTCTGTCAGGCTGTCTGCACTTACATCTTCAATATCTGCCAGATCAATAGGTGGCAAAGGATTCCTCCAGTACTGGAACGTGTTATACTGCCAGAATTCTTCATTGTGCTGTAAGGAAAAGATATATCACTGGCTTAAAAAGGGTTTTGCTTTTTCAGGAAATTAATTTGACTTGTTTCAGTCAGGCTGCAGTCACAGCACTCAGAAGGCTGAGCAGGGGCATTCCAGGTTTAAGGCCAGCCCAGACTACATAGTGATACCCTGTCTCAAAAACAAACAAAACAAAAAACATAAAAAGATAACTACTTTCTTAAGTATTTATTTTGTATGTGGGCAAAGGGGGATAGGGAGGTCCCTATAAAGGCAGAGGTGAGAGGACAATTTCAGAAGATAGTTTTCTACTTCCTGAGTTCTAGGGACTGAACTGAACTCCTCAGTTGGCAGAAAGAGTCTTTAGCTCTGAGTCATCTCCCAAACCCAATAACTACTTTTCAAATTCTTTTTTTGAGACAGGGTCTCCCTGATTAGCTGTCTGGCCCTGAACTCAGAACTGCCTATGTCTGCCTCCTGAGTACTACTGGGCTCTAAATTCCCTGTTTGAAAAACAAACTCAAATACATTTTACAGCAGGCTTGATGGTATGCCCTTAATCCCAACATTCAGGAGGTAGACAGAAGCCAGCAGATCTCTGTGAATTCAAGGCCAGCCTGGTCTACATAGTGAGTTTCAGGATAACTGTGTCTACAGGGGGATCCTGTTTCAAAAAACAAAACAAAATACATTTTAAAGTCTTTTTTGACTTCCAACAAATATACTTTGGATAGATGGTTCGGCTGCTAAGAGCATTTGCTGCTACTGCAGAAGAGCCGGGTTCCCAGCACCCATACCATAACTCATGCCTGTCTGGAGCTTCAGTTCCAAGGGACCTGATATCCTCTTCTGGTTTTCAAAAGAACCAAGCATCCATGTGATGCCAATAAATACATGCAGGTAAAATACTCATATACATAAAAAACAAAATCTTTTTAAGAAATCTAAAAAACTTTAATATCATTAGATTAGGTATAGTGTCTAGGACTTTAAATCATAGGAAATTAAAGTGCTTGGGGGAATTTCTTTTGAGGGGAGGGAGGTCATCCCTGTAGCACCAGCTGTCCTGGAATGCACTGGTCTGGCCTCAATCTCACAAAGATCTGCCTGCCTCTGCCTCCCAACTGCTGGGACTGAAGTTGTGTCCACCATACCTGGCTTGGGAATTTCCTAATAATGGGATAAAGATAATATAAAACCAAAAAATAAAGGGCGTCAGGCATGGTGGCATACACCTTTAATCCCAGCACTTGGGAGGCAGAGTTCGAGGTTAGCCCGGCCTATGTATAGCAAGTTCCAGGCCAGCCAGGGTTACAGAGTAAAACTCTGTCTCTGAAAAAAAGGGAAAAAAAAAAAAAAGAAAAGGTATAGGGCTGGTGAGATGCCTCAGGTAAAGACACTTATGGCAAAGCCTGAGTTCAGTTCCCGGAACCCACCCGGTAGAAGGAGACCCGACTTGTCACTCTAGCACACAAAACAAATAAAACATTTTCTTAAAATTTTTATTTTATGTGTATGAGTGTATTGCCTGCATGTATGTGAGTGCACCCGTGTCATGCAATGCCATGGAGGTCAGAAGAGGGCTTCGGATTCCCCTGGAACTGGAGTTAAGGACAGTTCACAGCCGCCATGTGGGTGCTGGGAATTGAACCCAGGTCCTCTGCAAGAACAGTCAGTGCTCTTAACCACTGAGCCATCTCTCTATAAAAACATTTTTTTAAAAGATAGGAGAAGGGCCAGGCATGGTGGCGCACGCCTTTAATCCCAGCACTCAGGAGGCAGAGGCAGGCGGATCTCTGTGAGCTCAAGGCCAGCCTGGTCCACATACTGAGTTCTAGGACAGCTGGGGCTGTAGAGACCCTATCTCAAAAAGACCAAAAAAAAAAAAAAAAAAAAAAGATAGGAGAAGGAGCTGGAGGAATGGCTCAACAGTTATAAACACCCCATGGTGGCTCACCGCCATCTAGAGCTCCAGTTTCTAGGGATCCAACATCCTCTTCTAGCCTCCAGGGGCACTACAAATACACAGTGCACTTACATGGCAAAACACTGCTACACATAAAATAAAAATAATCTAAAAGGAAAAGAGATATGTAGAGGGAAAAAAACTTTAATAAGCAAATGGGATCAAAACAATATTCAAATTCTAACTTTTAGAAAACCTGTTTGATCCTTTGATGTCAGTATAACCTAGTGATTGAAAACACCAACTTGGCCACCAGGTAGAGCTGTGTGTGTAGGATTCCACAACCCAAACTCTGATCTTCACTGCATTAGTAACATCAAGTAGGGCTATTGTGAGAATTAAGAATAGAACACTAACTGTAAAGTACTACTGGCAATACATCCCCTCACATGTATATACATCATCTTCTCTCTAGTAGAACAGTCCTGCAGTTATCTAACAGTAAAACCCAACAGTAGCAGAGCAATTATCTGTGTAAAATTACACTACTAGTATACAAAACATATACATCTACTTCATCTAGTTTTTAAAAAGTATGTGTATCTATCCATTTCTTTCTCTATGTGCATATAAGTATATATAAAACAACAGAGCAGATAAAAAAATAAAAATACAGCAGACATTCTGAAGTTTGAGGACAAAAAGGAGTTATTATTATTACTATGCCCAGAAAGTATCTGTGGTAGCATTTCCTAAATGAGGGAAAAAATAATAATAATCAGGCAGACATTTTTTGTCATATTTTTGTTATACCCCACCCCACCACCCTCAGGTTAATTAGCTTTTAAAACTCTTGTCTTTGGAGGCAGGAGGATGTACATCATCTCTTGGGCTTGGGAAGCAGACCTAACAAAAAGGAACTTGAGTGTTCCTAGGTGTCATGGTCTTCTGCTTTTCAGCTACTAACACCACTGGAGACCACAGATCCAGGCGCTGGTGTGAGGTACATAAAGCTGTGATCGATGCTAAGCAGGCATGGTGTGTTTGTTTAAAAGCTCTCCTTTGCCTGCATGCCCCTTCTGTATTTCTCTCATCAACTGTACACTATATATTCTGGTAGGAAGGGAAAACTTGCATATGGGCAGCATGTCCATAATGGTCTGAAGTGGAAGATTTAAGCGACACAGCACCTATCTCAGAATAGGTCTGGATTCTGTTGTAAGGACACTGGTTTTGAACATGTAAAAAACAATCTGAAGAAAGGTCTACATAAGGCTCATGTTTTCAAACTCAAGAAAACAAGAACAGAAATAGTTATTATTGCTGGGTGTGGTGGCGCACGCCTTTAATCCCAGCACTTGGGAGGCAGAGGCTGGGGGATCTTTGAGAGTTCGAGGCCAGCCTGGTCTACATAGTGAGTTCCAGGACAGCTGGGGTTACAAGGAGACCCTGTCTCAAAAAAGACCAAAAAAAAAAAAAAGTTACTATTGATAACTTCATTAGAAATGGTCACCACAGTATTCAAAGATAATCTCATACAACCACAGGGGTAAAAAAAAGTCTTCCCCCTACTGTAAATTTTCCATTATCTTTCTAGTGCTCGCTCTCTCACACACATACACAAACATAAATGGCAAAAAAAAAAAAAAAAAAAAAAAAAAACCTGAGTAGATGCTATGGCACGGTGGTTGATGCGTTTATGAAGTTCTGAGCACTGTATCTGGTTCTTCCATCTGCAAATCTCCACCAAGTTAAGCCCAAAGAGCCTCAAAGAGCAAGAGGTCCTAATAGATCATAGCTGTGCAATCAATATAGAATGTAGGCCATAACAGACTTGAAACTTTCGACTCCCATTATAAAAGGCATGTAACAATATGTAACTAATTACTTCGTGGGTAACACAGCATAGAATCTGAGCTCCTTTTTCTCCCCAAACCTTCAGCGCCTGCTGTCTACAGTCACAACACGGATCAGTTAAGACTGGTTACTTTTCTACTGTGTTCCTTAGGATCCGTGTTCCTTAGGATCCCCGCACGCCCTACCTGGCTCGGCGCCCCTCCGGCTCCCCCAGCGCTCCCCGCCCCGCCGTCGCCGCCGCCGCCGTCCGGAGCCCGGCCGTCCAGAGGCTGCTGGTCTGCGCGGGGCGGCGGCTCTCCGGTCTCGGGCTCTCCCGGTTCGGGACCGTGGCTCCGCTCCAGGCCGCCTGGGGAGACGTCCCCGCCGCCACGCCGCTTGCGGGGTGCAGCCGCAGGTTCAGCCATGGTCCCCGCGTCAACCCTGCGCTTTCCCGGCCGTGCCGCCCCCGAAGGCGGGACCCAGAGCGGCGGCTCCTCGGGTAAGTCGCGGAGCAGCAGCCGCTTCCAAGGCACGCGGTATGTGAGGGGCTCGGCTGCACGCCTCTTGGCCATGGGCCACGCCGGGCGGCGCGCGGGCGCAGTGGGGAGGGCGGGCGGCCGCTGCGGATCTGCGGGCAACACCGCCAAGTACGGCCGACACGTTGGGCAGCCGCCGGGGAGATTCGAACCTGCGCACCGATGCGCGCGCACTCGCGCGGGCCCGGCACCGCCGCTGGTTGGTGGAGGCTCGCGACGCGCGCTCCCGAAAGCCCTCGCGGCCGGAAGTGCGCCGCAAGGAAGGCGGGGCTCCTGGTCCCGGTTCGTCTGTTGCTCCTTCCTGGTGTCTTGTCGGTGGGCTCGGCTTGGAAACGCCGCCAGCCTTCTCGGCTCTGTCGGGCGCTCTCGCCGTAGCCAGCTCGGACGGGCGGAGGGGCCTCCGCACTGCACGTGGCCCCATCCTGTAGCCCGGAACTGGGAAGAAGCACTCCTGGAGCGCAGCACTTCGTCTCTCACCCCAGCCTGAAGCGAGACTAGAGACTGGGACGCCCGGAAGCTCTGCTTTCTCTGCGGCTCTCTCGCAGCTTCCGAGACCTCATTGCAGGAAGATTGGGTGTCGTCAAAATGGAAACAACCGCAGTGGCTTTACAGCAGCTTGCATTTTAGTTGCTCATTAAAAGTAGTAACTAAGGGCTGGGGCCGCAGCTCTGTGGCAGAGCTCTTGCTGAGCATGCCAGAGGCTCTAAGGCTCAATCCCCAGTACTGCCAGGAAAAAAAGTGCTCCGAAGAAAGTCTTCCGAGGCAAAACATGTGTGCAAGGAAGATAATTCTATTTTAACTAAATTTTAACTTCCTTTACACCTCCAGGTAATTGTGGGACAGCAACCTTTTAACAAACACATAGTTTTTTGGGGTAGTAAACAATGGCTTTTTTTAAAGTCTTTTTTTTTTAAGTCTGTTTGTAATTCTTCATCCATCTGGAACAAATGAAAAAATTTCATTTTCAAAGCACAGATCAAGCATGAAAGAACTTAGTCCTCGCCTTAAGATGTCCTCTGGGAATGGTTCTGAGACCCTACCCCTAAAAGATACAATTTGGAGGTGGTTCGTTTCTGCTGCTCCTCTCATAGACTCTCTCCCCCCTCCCGAAATTAACATATAAACGTAGGGTTGCATAAAGTATGCATGTAGCTGAAGGAATGGTAGTAGCACACCCGACGCCCAGTTTCAGAACTATATTACCAGAACATGAAAGACTTTTTCCACTGTGTGTGCTTTAAGTAGTCTCGTTTCAGATTGTGAGTTATTCTTTGTTGTAATTTGCCGATTTGTAAAGCATTTTTGGCTTTACTGATTTTTAAAAAGGTTTATTAAAGTCTAATATGCAGTAAACTGCTTATATTTCAAGTGTGGCATTTTGACATACGTGTACCGGTGAAACCGTATACACGAGACAGTACAGGTATCCACCTAAAAATTTTAATCTTGCCCTTTGTAGTCTCCCCTAAGTATCAAATTTGCCTTCTACCATAGACTGATTTCCGTCTTCTATAATCTCTACAAATTTAATGAGGTACTATATATACTTTAGCTTCTTTCCCTTTGCAAAAGTATCTTGAGAGTCATCTGTTAACATTTTTACTTACTGTCAAGTAGTATTCCATTTGTTGGGGTATGTGAGCTGCTTTCAAGTGAAAGTTATTACCTGTAAAGCTGCTGAGAGCATTGGTGTAAAAGGCTTTGTATGAACGAAGACTTCCTTTTTACAAAGTGCTTTTTCCTCCTTTAATACTGTTTATGGTGTTGGAGACTTACTATGTTTTTTCTACATCCTCACCAGCACACAGTATGGTTTAACCTGATCAGTGTGGAATGGACTCTCATGTGGCCTCACTTTGCATTTCCCTCAGTAAAGGAGGGAACAGTAAATTGTGTTTACAATTTTGTTGCAGAACCCATATTTTCACTTTCTGAACAAATTCTAAACTTTGATATGATTTAAATTATCAGTCCTTCACTTCTAGTTTTGGGTAGTTTGGGTCTCTAATAGGTCAGCCTCCCACCTTCACCTCTGAATCAATGCCTCAACCAGGATCTGCTTGGCCCAGTTTCGATGGCTAGACTTTTGTTAAAGGAGTGTACATCTTTAGCCCTCTTTAAAAACTGGGCTAGTTGCCCTTATTTCTGGTTTGTGAGAGAGCCTTTTAATATTTAAAAAGTTTCTCCTATGGTAATAATTGGTGTTAGAAATATTAAAACTTAGGGGTTGGAGAGATGGCTCAGCAGTTATAAGCACTAGCTGTTCTTGCAGAGTTCCTGGGTTTGGTTTCCAGCACTCAAATGGTAACTAACAACCATTGGTAACTCCAGTTCCAGGGGATCCAATGCTCTCTTCTGACCTCAGTGGGTACTGTACAACAAAGTACACTTACCTGCAGCAATGCACTTACATAAAATATTTTTAAAAGAAATATTAAGACTCCTCAGGCATTATACTTTCATTCTATGGTGGCTTAATTTTCTTTACTACATTTATTTTTGTGTGTGCATGTACACGTGTGCATGCAACAGTACACACATGGAGGTCAGAGGACTACTTGCACAAGTTGCTTTTCTCCTTCTAACTTGTGGGTCCCAGGGTTCAAACTTAGGCTTGGTGGCAAGTGCCTTAACCCACCCAAGCCGTCTCTTTAGTTCTGCAGCAACTTAATTTTAATTTAGCAAAGTAGATCAGCCATGTCTTAGTTCAGTTATGTCTTGTCTAAGCATTTTAGTTTCATATTTTTGCTTCCATACTTAAAATCTTTCATCCACTTAGAATCTCTGTGTGTGTGTGTGTGAGTGTGTGTGTGTGTGTGTGTGAACAAATGCTGAGAGTAAGGACTCAAGTTCATTTCTACAGCCATATAGAGTAACCGTCTCTACACACACTGAACAGTTGTCCTTTTCTCACTTTGCAGTGCCTGCTCTGTGCTAACTCCATTGCTCATATTCATGTGACTAGGCTCTCTCAATTCTGCTCAACCATTATTTTTGCGATCTTGTGCCAGTACAACAGTACCTACATTATAGCTTTATATAAAGGTTTTGACAGGGCTGGCAAGATGGTTCAGTGGGTAAAGGCACTTGCCACCAAGCTGCTGACCTGAGTTCAATCCCTGTGACCTGTGACCCACATTGTGGAAGGACAGAACTGACTCTGGTAAGTTGTCCAATTTTTCAATTACTTAGAAATTACAGATCAGTTTAGGGAGAATTTTCATCTCTACAGTATCAAGCCCACTCTTTATTCAATATAGCTCTAATTTGATTTTTAAATGTCTTTTGATAGACTTTAGTTCTCATAATCAAAAGCTTCTGCCTTTGTTCACTTTATAACTTTGGCAGAAAGCAACTTCTTTTTTTTGCCCATAAATGGCCTATTTAAAGACCTTGGAAGTAGAACTTGAGGTTACTTTACCCCAGGTTGTACCAATCTACCTATTCAAGGCATTTATCCATTCCATCCAAGTTGCCAATTTTGTTGGTACACTTACATTTCTGTTTTCTCATTTCTCTTTTTTCTTCTCCAGCTTTTGCTAGTATAAACTAAAATCATCAACTGTCTTATTTTTTGAGACAAGTTCTCATGTAGCCCAGCCTGGCCTCAAACTCACTATGTTGCTGAAGCTGGCTTCCAACTCCTGATCCTCCTGCCTCCCGTCTCCCAAGTGCCAGAATTATGGGCGTATGTAATGCCCAGCTGTCTTCTTTTCCAATATAAACATTCAACCACTGCTTTAGCTACATTCCACAAAATTTGGTATGCTGTACTTTGAGTTTGAAATACTTTTGACTTTTCTTTGTTCTGACTTCTACTAGACAAACTGAGTATTATTTTGAATCTCATTTTAATTTAACCTACTGATATTTTAGTTATACCTCTCTGCATTAATATTCAGTGGTTTCTCCAACGGTAATGCACATCTTTAACTGATTTTCAGTCTTTATTTAAACACTGCATTTCATGTAAAAAACAACTACCCTGCAAGCCATTTATGTACTGGCCCAATGGGATCCTTTCTGTTTATCTCATAGCTTCATATAAAATGAAATCTGGGACTGCTGAGATAGTTCAGCAAGTTAAGATGCTTGTCGCCAAAACCTGATGAGTTAAATCCCAGAACCCCCATGTTGCAGACTGATAGGAGCTGCATGTCAACTGAGACTAGGTTAGTGTTTTTTTTTTTTCCAATTATTCTTATGAGCCTATATGCATTGTATGTGCTTGATGCCTCATGAGGCCAGAAGACATTGTATACCCCAGAGCTGGAGTTACAGATGGCTCTAGAGGGCTGTTACATACACACCGTTTGATCCTTTGGATTCTGCTTTTAAGATCTGTCAGGAGGGACCTGAGTTAATTATCTAGGACTAATTATTGCCTACTGCTGAAGTGTTAGTAAGCTTTCTGTCACTATGTCAAAATGTCCAAGCTAACTTCCAAGAGGAAAGGTTTATTCTGTTTCAGTTTTAGAGGTTCAAGTCCATAGCTGGACGGCACTGCTGATTTGCACACAGTCCATCACATCAGGAGTTTGTGGTGGAGAAGGTCTATTTGCCTCATGGTGGCCAGGAAGCAAAAAGACCAGAAAGGGCTAGGGTCTCAATGTTCCCTTCAAGGGCCTGACCCCAACAGCCAAACTTCTTTCCACCACATTCCAATAGGAAGCTGCAGTCCATACCTTCAACACAGGACCTGTGGATTGCTCAACCAATCATAGTATGAGGGAACACTTAGCCTATGAATTGTGAGGTTTTCCAGTCTGCTTATGAAAATAGGCACTACGTAATGTTCCTAAAAGAATACTGTTTTCAGTAGTTGTATATATGCTGATACTGGGAACAGGGTTAGAAGGATATATGACAAGTCTGGGCCACTTGGGATTAGTTTAGTGTCACTAGTATCTTGTATGTATAGTTGCTTTTCATCGATGTGCCAAAATACCTATGAAAAAAAGGGAGGACTTATTTGGACTCACAACTTCAGACATTTTGGTTCATGGGCCTTTGATCCCACTACTTCCAAGCTGTGATGAGACACAACACAGCAGAGAGCATGTGGTGGAGCAAAGTGGCTCACCTCATGACAGAAACAGAAAGAGGGAGAGGGAGAGGGAGATGGGAAAAAGGAATCAGAGACACAATACAGACTTCTAAGGCACCCAACTTCCTAGTAGCCCATCCAGTATAAACTCCTCAATGGACTAACCCATTGATAAAGTTGGCACTTTCATGATCCAGTAACTCCGGAACAGCACCATAAGCTGGAGACCAAGCTTTCAAACCACGAAGCTGTTTTTTTTCTGGGGGTGGTGTAGACTTCACATGTGGTTAAATTTCCTCACTAGAGGCTAACATCTAGTTTCTGTCAGGAGATACTGGTCTCTGCTTTTGCACATATAAATAGAGCTACTGGCTACCAGATTACTCCAGATCAGCTTGTCAAGTTCTAATGTACAGTAAACACAGTTAAGAGGTAGAGGCATCTCCCTCAGGAGCACAGGGCAGGCTTGTTTTACACTGTGATGTCTTCCAGTGGAAGAACTGAGACATACTCAATGTTTGCTCATTATAATTAAAGTTGGGGTTCCTCTTCTGAAAATATAACCCAAATTCCTGTTCAGGCATCACCTGACACTTAAAAAAGGCACTCTGAAATCTGAACCTGATGGGACTGGAGCAAAATTAATACTCTGGCTAATGCTATCCATAAGTAAATTGTTCTTTTGTTTCTGACAGTCTTCTGTCTTCATGATTCTTTGAAAGGCTCTTTCTAGCTTGAAAGCAAAGTGAAGTTAGATCCTTTGTATAACTGACACTTTCTGCCTCAGATGAACACCAAGCAGGTCAAAGGACCTGGTCTCATCACCAGCATCTACATCATCAAAGCACAGGCAGCTATCTTCCCTTGAGCAAACTCTTTCTAATGGACTACTTTTAGAGTTTCTTCCCAGCCAGTCCAGAGATGTCCCTTCAAAGTTGATTGACTATGCCTCTTTGTGAGCCTGGTAGCATGTGTGTGGACAGAAAGCAAGGGGTTCTAGAGGGTAAGAACTAGAGCTAGAGATGAGCTGGATGGTGCTAGACTAGCAGATTAAAACAAGCAAAAGGTTTTTAATTACTGCTGAAATAGTAAGAGGATAAGCCAGAAAAAGCAGACTTCCCTTCTTCCACCCTCCCTGAACAATGCACTAGCAAGCCCTGAAAAGACTTCTGCAGTTTTGTGGATGGCTGGATATAGTAGAGATGGAGTGTGACATGTCCCCAAAGGCTGATATGGTAAAGGTCAGATCCCGAGTGAGTGTTCAAGTGGTGACGGCTCATGAATGGATTACTCCTTTGAATCTTTATGAATGGATTACTCTGATGGCTTTATACTTAGACGACTGGATTGCGATGGAAACCTATGTATGAGGTGGGATCTACTAAAGGGAGATTGCATTCAGGACTGTTTCTGTTCCGTGCCCTTCCTACCCTGCACTCCCTCCGCTTCCAAGCTTTATTCCACTGCCTGCTCCTCACCCTCATGTTCTTCTTCACAGTCACCAGAAAAAGTGACCATGGACCGAATTGTGGGACAAAAGGAACCTGCCCTCCTTCGTTTTTTTCCTGTTGGTTTTTTTTGTTGTTCACAAAAGACTATTATCCAGTGCTTTTTTTGTTGTTGACAAAAGAGTTTATTATCTAGTGTTTTTTTGTTCACAAAAGACTATTATCTAGTGATGTTTTGTTTTTTTTAAAGGTATGTTGCTAGGTATGGTGGTGGTGGCGGCACAGCCTTTAATCCCAGCACTTGGGAGGCAGAGGCAGATGGATCTCTGAGATCCAGGCCAGCCTGGTCTACATAGCTAGCTTCAGGCCAGCTGGGGCTACAGGGAGACCCTGTCTCAAAAAAATAAAAAGCCAAACAAACAATCAACAACAATAAATAAAAAGATACGCTGTCACAACAACACAAAACTAACACAAAAGAAGAAAAGGGACTAGAAGTAAAGAAAATACCAAGTCAGAATAAACTGAAATCCTCCTCCTCCCCAACCCAGTAGACTTCTGTAGAGGCACTGTGGATGTCTCTGTCAAAGGTCCTTACAAACCTCTCATTGGTAAATAATAGTTCAGGAAAGGAACCCAAGTGATAAAAGTTCTTGTCCTACTAATGCTGGTCCTGGAACTTCTTTCCTATTTGCCTTTGCAGTTTTTTCTCCATCATTTAATAAAACTAACGATTAATCTTTTTCCTTGGGCAATACCAACTTCATCACAGTGAACACAAATGAACAAAATGAAAAGAATTAGTACAAGCCTGGGCAAACTCAAAGGTCAGCTACTCTTATTACTTTCTAGAAACATACAAAAATAGTTAACCAAGAGTTCAAAAGTATGTGTTCAATTAATTAAAATTCCCACACTTAATGGCTATCATCACAGAGGGAAACAACCAAGCAGTGTTTCATAGCAATTGGCAGACTTTAATATTTAAGAAAAATTAAGTCCATCATAAACATTAAAAATATAGGAAATTTCATGCAGACATGAAGCTTCCAATTCAGCCTTTCCGGCAACTTTTAGAATAAGAATTACATATAAATACAGTACACTTTACAGTTCCCCGACTTGATCATTTTATACTGTGATTTCTACAGCTTCCTGTGTATTTTTACGTCCCACCTTGCTCATTGATCAACAGATCTAAATCCACACCCACCACCTCAGAATATGAAAATTAAAACACGCAAGTACATACATGATCACCTTATG